TTTCGCCCCTTCCCAAAATTACTTCAACGGAAGGTTTCCAGATGGATATGCGGAGCAAATCCATCTGGCGGAGTCAGGTTAAGCATTCATAACATGTAGGCCAATAACTGTCCCCCAGACATCCGCAGTTATATTTTTTATATTTATATATTTTTGTAAACAAAGCGTGTGTATGACGTGCAAACCCGTACATCAGAGATGTGCAAAATGACAGCAGCATGTTTATTAACTGATTAAGGCAGAAGCTGTGCAAAATCGGCATGAATGTAACAACTTATTGAGGTTGTTGGGAACAGTGACGGTGATACAGTCTTCCAGCTGCTGGGAGGAAGGATCTGTGATAACGCTCCGTGGTGCATTTAGGGTGCAGGAGTCTGTGACTGGAGGAGCTCTCCAGTTCAGCATCAGCTTCATGCATGGGGGGGAGACATTATCCAACAGAGATGTAAATTAAGTTATGATCCTTTTGTTTCCCACCTCCTGCACTGAGTCCAGAGGGCATCCAATCACAGAGCTGGCCTTCCTGATCAGCTGATCCAGCTTCTTCCTCTCAGCTACAGATAAGCCACTGCTCCAACAGACAGCTCTATAGAGGATGGCTGATGCCACAAGAGGGTCATAGAAGGTCCAGTTTGTTATTCAAATGAACACCTCGGTACTTAGAAGCAGACATGGGCAATGTGGAGTCAACAAGTCATCTCCATGTCATGTATTGGTTCTACCCAGCCACTGAAGCAGGTGAGTCCAATCTTCACCATGAATTAACCTGTGCAGATTGGACTCACCTGGTTAATTGGCTGGGTAGAACCAATACATGACATGGAGATGACTTGTTGACTCCACATTGCCCATGTCTGCTTAGAAGAGTCAACTATCTCAATGTCCGTTCCCTGGAGGTTCACCAGTGTCAGTGAGGTGGATCTGCTTCTGCGAAAGTCCACCACTAGCTCCTTGGTTTTCTCTGCATTAATCAGGAGGTGGTTCTGCTTGTTCTTCTGTGGAGAATTGTGGTTTTATTTACCAAATAAACTTGTATTACTTTGTTTATAGATTTGTAAACTTAGTTTATTTTTGAGAAAGTGAAGTACCAACGTGAGCTAGTTAATTTTATCATGAACTAGCACAACAATGTATATGTTCAATTCTAGTGTCTGCAGCTACAGACTGCCGGTTCACTAGGATGAGATTTAATCCGCCTTTTAAATGGCTTTGATGTTTTGCCTAAAACATTTTACAGTTTCACACTCAGAAGAGACGGAGGAGAATATTTTTGGCTCAAAGATGCTGATCAGAATATCAGCCGTCTACCTGAGGGGATGCAAAGCTGCCTCCACGTCCGTTTCATCGAACATCGTGGGCTTTGAAGGCAGCGTCATCCTGACAGCTAACTAATAATAGCTGGTCCAGTTTATGGTGTGGCTACCATGGCAACAGAGGGAGAGAACAGAGATTGGAGGAGTGCCCATCACTGGAGCAGCCAAACTCACCAGGAAACCAGTAAAGCGTGATGGAGGCACTGGGAGAGCAGCTGAGGGATGGTTGCTGGGGGTCAGGATGAGGCGGCAGCAGGTCAGCCAATCAGGTTGCTCACATTCTGCCTGCAGCAGGTTCCTGTGAAGGGAACTCTGCACCGTCACACCTCAGGTTCCCTCTGCAGGACCTCAGAGCAATAAGCAGAGAGACGTTCAGTCGGCCAGCTGAGCAGCAGTGCTCAGCACCAAGCTGCCTTTATCTGCCTTAAAACCGCAGCGGTAGGACGATAAAGATGCTATGCTAACAGTTATGTCAGGATTTCAGTTCCTCCTTCTCCCAATCTTCACATAAAGCCTGTTTCTATGTTTTTCACATTTATAGGTGGATAATTGAAATGTTGAGGTACGAATGTCTTTCTTTTTTTTTTTTTAAGATGTTGAAGGATTCATTTTTAATTATTTCTATCACTGAAGGTGGATTGTTCCATGTGTTAGCTCCTCAGTTCAGTGCATGCCAGCACACAGCCCTGGATGGCCCTGGGACAAAATATTAAGATATGGACCCCCACCCATCCATTCGTACTTTCTGTACACATATATAGTCTTGATTGATCAATCTTGAATGATGTCAAGCCTAGAATTTAACATTTTTTTCTTGTAGCATGAAAAATATTTATTCAATAGTTAATTAGATAAATAAATGAACAAAATATTTAATATTCATCTATTTACAAATATATTAAAAATGTGGCGGTTCTGGCTTTCCATACATGCTCTAGTTCCTTTAGATCCCATTTATAGACTCCTGCTTGAGTGACGTGCTGAGATTTCAGGATCAAATGTTAGGATCAAATCTGTTCCTAAGCATTTCAGGCCGTAGAGCAGGACTGTCTATTTATTCACCTCCACTGCAGCTCTGATGCGGCCGGTGGAGGCGCCTGGAACTCACATCATCAATTTCAAAACATTGCAGCGCTTAACAATACCTCACTGTTTGGTCTTAATTAGCAAACATGGGACAGATGCTGACAGTTTTTTGCACCAGCAGAGAGCTAACAAGATATGACCGCTAACAAGCTATGACAGGTGTTCTGTCAGATGAGCACATTTGGTCAGACCAGCATGCGCACAGTCAAAACCCATTTATCCCTTTAGTTTATCGCTTTTGTTTTGTACGAAAAATAGATTTTAAACTACCTCAACGGATGTGTTTCCCTTTAGTCATGTACAAAACAACAATTTAATAACACACTTTTTGGTGTTTTTTGAAGCGTATGACGATCTGACCTTAAATAGTTATTTTTTTACATGACTAAAGGGATACATGCCTGTTAAGGTAGTTTAAAGTCTACTTTCGTACAAAACTAAAGGGATAAATGTAAATCTACACCCATGCGTATTGACTATGGGTATGCTGGTCTGACAGACCACTGGCTTTGTCATGATTTTATCAAGAGTTCGGACCCACATGCAGATAAACCAATCCAGAGAGACAAGGGGAAAAGTTTAACAGGTTTATTGAGAAGTTTTGTGGAGATTCCAGTGTTGCTCTGAACACTGCTCAACCGGATCTGAAAGGTGAGGGAAAGACACTGCGGTTAGTTCAGGTTCAGTGGGAAAATTGAATCTCGAACTTGAAGAGGAGGAAAGGTTGGCTGACTCACGTTTCCAGAGATTAGGTTGAATCTTAGACTCCAGTAGGTGAGGAATGTGTTCCGGTGTTTGTCTCATAGGGTGGAGGGCGGACAGGGTTTACCCAGAATGCGGTTGCTTGTAGGTGAACGGAGAAGACTGACTGCCACTCAGATTTCCTGCCGTCCCTAAACGACTGTGGTGCAGATGAAACCCTTGCTCAGTGTGACGCTCAAATGATTCCTCGGGAAAAAGTGGATCGAAAGTTCCGGTTTGTATCCCCAGCTCAGTTTGAAGCTCAGTAGGTCCTTCCAGGGAGAGAAGGTCTGAAAATCCAGTTTGCATTTGGGACTTGAAGGTGAGGATCTTCCCAGTACTGCAGTGGATCAGTGGAAGAAATAAATTAATTGAAACAATTTTATGTATCTTAAATATTTCTTTGCATACATAAAAAATAATAGTTAAAAAAAAAAAAGCTCTTGTCCATAGATGGAGATAGCTGGTCCCCCCCAACCCCTGTCTCTGTGTATCAATGCCTTTTTCTTTCAGGGTCATGTTGATAAAAGATATGTAGGAGAACAGATAGGTCTGTGTCAGGCGTGATTGTTCGTAGGAGTCAACATTGTAAGGAAGTAGGGAGAAGTAAAGCTGTATGACAGGGAACAGGCTGTGTGAGTATAGAAACCATTTCACCATCACAATGAGGACCAGTTGTTGTAAAGGGAGGACATTTTGCTGGTCCTCACAAAATATTTCGTTAATAGTTAGATGTCAGTAGGGTTAGGGTGAGGTATGCATTGGTTATGGTTCAATTTAGGGTTAGGTTTAGGATTAGAGCATAGAAACGGTTATCAATGGAAGTCAACACATGGTCCTCACTACATGAAGTAGAGATTTTTATAGATTGTCAGGCCATTTTCTGTTGTGGGGACCAAATGCTCCTAGTGGGGCCCATTGCCTGGACCCCTGAGGGGAATCGCTGTGTTAGGGTTAGGGGTCACCTTTAGGACTGAGGTGGGAGCTGTGTTTAGGGTTAGGGATGAGATGGGTTAGAAATGAATGGCAGTCGATGGAAAGTCAGCACTAGGATAGTGAGTGAGTGTGAGTGAGTGTGTATCCGTCCTGCAGAGAAACCGTCTGCTCGTCTTAGTCCTCACCTGAACCTGAAATGTTACCCAGATTAAGAGCCTCTGTACCTTCAGCTTGTATCTATCAGTCCATCAGCCTCTCATTGACCCAGTCCTCGTCCCCCCCCCCACCCATCACCACCACACCACAATCTAGCTCCTGCTAATATATGGCTTCCTCTCTTTTTCTAGAGTCAATCTACCGCCGCGGCGCCAGAAGATGGAGGAAGCTCTACCGAGTGAACGGACACCTTTTCCAGGCCAAGCACTTTAACAGGGTGAGTGTCATGGAGTCCTTGGAGGGAAGGCCTGAAAAAACTGGAGCGGCCATGACGCCTGAATCACTGATTGTTTTTTAAGGTTTAACCTTGATGTTTGATCAGATTATTGGCTTTGTTCTTTTAATAATCTAGATTGAAACAATAATCTTTGACCTCATCCGACTGTATTTTGGCTCACAATACAACTTATTTTTTTAACACAGAAAGGCAGAAAGAAAATCAGAAGTAAATTAAGTAAAATAAAAACATATTTTTATATGAAATTTTACCATCCTGAGAACAAAATGTGTTGATGTAAATGTAGCATTTAGTGTTTACACAGAGAGCAGCTTGTGACATGGCTGAACTGGGCTGATGGTGAGCAGGGAGGTTTATTGTGAGTTTGATCCAGTTTATGTGTCTGAGGAGGTCAGATGAGATGTGACCACAGGGGGGATTGCTTCACAGCTTTGGTAAAGAAACAGCTTCTTAGTCTATTTATCTTGAACAGAATTCACTTCAATTCAGTTTATTTCTATAGCACCAATTCACAACACGTGTCATCTCTAAGCACTTTTCAGTTCACCAGATCATCCAGTCCGATTGGTTCAAAGTTTTCTTTCTAATGAAAACCAGTTGATTGCGTCGACTCATTGACTCTTCAGCAATCCCTCACACCAAGCATGCTTGTAGCAACAGTGAAAAGGAAAACTTCATTTTATTAACATAAAGTTGCTGCACAGTTTTTTTCAGTCCAGGAGAGGATCAGAAATTTTATGCTGCCCACATGATCCACTGCTTTAACATTAATTATAGCACAAAAAATCCTGATTAATAATTCACAATTTAGGTAAAAATTATTGACAATAAATGCATATTTAAGATAAACTAA